GAACAACCTGAGTCTCACACTCTATATCATGGTCACTACCGTACTTATACAAAAGTTGTTCATGTAGTTGTACTAATATCAAGACTACAGAAATAGTTGTCTCTCAAAATGAGATAGGGTTACATTGCCCACATTTAGCCTAAATGATGCGCCTCAAATGTCATAAATCTAACCATAATTTGATCTAACCCGTAACAAACATAACAATCTCCAGACACACACAACAAACCAGTCAATAATAGGCAATGTTGCTGTCAGTAATATTTAGTTGTAAGTAAAATTTTGAAACAGAACAAACCTTTATGAATACACTGTGTTACAACACTATTCAAAAGTTTTATCAAATATTTATTAATTATTAATACCTTATCACATATAAAATTATTATATATTTAAAAAGACTAGCTAATCTTCGTTGATTGCATTATTATCAATAATATGTAACTCAAAATATTGGGCAGTCATAGATTTTAGATTTTGTAAAGTCAATAGCAATTTTTGAAATCTCATTTTTAGTCATATCTCAATAATTATGCATGAAAGACACCTCTATCTTTAATTCGGTCAAGATTATGTAGATATTCATAATACGTATAAGTTTAAACAAGGTCTGATAATCCATACTCAAGTTCCCATAATTACAATAAAAATAAACGTTAACGACAACACACAATTTACCACTACAATTTTTCTTTTAGGTTTGTCTCTGGAAAGATCATGAAACAAATTCCTTGGCAAACATTAGCACTTTGTTTTGAGAAAAGCATTTATCTGCGTAGGTGACCATATGTTACAAGTACGTGGACAGCTGGATATAATATTATGAATCTAGAAGTATTTTCTGTACCGCAATAATCCATACATGCACAAGAAACTAAATGTCATTGAAAGGAAGTTAACTTTAACTTCTGTTGCAAGGAAATGGAATTCAAAGAAAATTACGGAAACTAAAAGCAAACCAAAGGTCGTAGGTGACATTTCAGAAAAACTCAACTATGCGTGTAGTGTATTTTTAGTTTAAGCCATACCAATGGTATTCATGTCAGTTGTCCACAACTGTAAAAGGGTTAATTATTCACTAGGTTTTAATTTTGCTTACTTCGCTGACTGGAAAATTTGCTAAATTAAAACCCAGTGAATATGTAGAATTTAGCATAGAACACATTATCTAAATGATAAAACTGTGAATTTAAAATCCACTGAATATGCCTGAAATAATCAGCGAAATTTAAACCCAGCGAAAATTAGTCATTTTACAGTATACATACGTCCATGAGTTTAGTGGTAAAACCAGGACAGACAAAATCTTCATCCCATGACCTCATGGGTGTACAGTAAAATACAGTATAATAAATGTCAAGAAAATTTGTACTGTGCCTAGAAATATGTTTTTCAAGAGTCAACTTCAGTCTGTACAGGACATAAAAATATTTGGTCTTTTATGAGAAGTTCACTTTGATTTGAGTTGGCAAATAAAGTACAACTATTTTGGGCCATTTCTAGTGTGTATGTGTGAAATGCATTTTCAGTGTTCACACTTAAACATAAATAAACACACACAGACATAAAATATCAGTGTTTTCACCAGACATGAGACATGAAACACTTGCCTCATAGTTTAATTTTTGTCCCAGGTTTTTTTTTACTCTCATGAGACAAATTGTGTCACATAAATGCAAGAAAATACAAGTGACAATTCATAGGTGTAGAATAAAATTCAAACATAATAAACAATTGAGTACACTGTCTCCGCTATAAGGGGAACAAAACTTAAATTCCACATGGATGGGTAATTGTCTCGTAATTTCTATAAATTGATGAAACAATTCCATCCCAAGTATTAAATAGCACACAAAGGAATAGAAGATTATTAGGGTGTGCCCTCAGATACCATGAAATAATGTCAAATATTATGTTTCCCATAAAAACAAATCAAAAGGCAGCTTCATAGAAAGAACATCTGCTTTCTAAAGATATGGAGGAGGAGGGGGGGGGGGAGATTGAAATTATGACAAAGGTATTGGACATATTTGAAATTAACTTATTAGCAATCCCGCGATTGAAATAGTTTTGCTGTGATTCATTGGGTTTACATTAGGGGTGAACAAATCAATTTGGAAAAATATGGCGATCACTTGACCATGCAGCATCAATTTGGGGAGCTCCAGGCAGCTCCAGTGGTCCTGCTGTTTATTGTGCTGTTTCGTTGTTTCGGTAATTATTTGGTTATATGATGCAGATACTACTGAATTTACTGTTCATATGCAATTGCTGCGTTGCATGTGACATCAATGAACCCCCACCACCCTCACCACCACCCCACCCCCAACCCAAATGCTTTGTCATCACATGCAAATGTTTTAGTTCATCATCCAAGGTGGCCATCAAATCAAATAATGGTAACATCACGTCCTTCAAACAGTGACTGAAGACAGTGAACAGATAGAAAACAAAATGATGTAATCGCAGAGGAAAGTTTATGGAGCAAAATCTAGTTTGGTATCAAAAATAATTTATCCAGAAAGGAAAAGTTTGATCACCAGATTCCTTGGTTCTGTCAATGAAAAACTGTTGCACTCAAACATTGTTGATGTTGTCAACTCCAATCAGCTAACTAACTTACCGGTAAAAACAAATTTTTGATATTCAAATGATAAAATGTGAAAGAGATGATTGTATCAACCAAGCGTTGTTACCAACACCATCTTGACCCTTTCACGAAGCGGAGGTGAAGTAAATGACCTAATTTACGGTTTTACCTGGAGGAGAATAAACTTCAAATTCATGTGCATAGATTTCACATGTAGCGATTTTTGAGCGATAAATTACGAAAGCGACTTCATGAAAGTCAAAATAAAACAGAAATTTTGTTAAAATGATACTTACAAAACAACTTACAGTAACTTAATTAAAATTTATTGAATTCCATGGTAATGCAAAATATTTTTTAAACCCAAATTTGACATCTAGACACGAAATGCAAACTATAACGCATTCTCTGAATAATATTATGGTTTGAATAATTTCACACGGAGGCCAAAACACGAAATGAAGTCACCATGTCAAGTCAAACACAACTCGAGGTTTGCAAACATGCAGTTTGTTTGAAGGATTCCATTGTCTACTGAAACATATATTCAAGACTTAACCTTCAGTATTCTGAAGACACCCAATGTTAAGGGATTCCAAAAAATTTATACTGAAACTGTGAAGAAAATATACCAGTATATTTTGAAGAGAGCCAATTTATGGAGGTGGACCAAAAACAAAATATTGTCACAAAACCAACTCATTAAATAGAGCTTTCTCAGCATACCTGTATTGGTAAATATCAATAACTGGCTCTCCAAATATACATATACATGTACCACGAAAAATCTAAAAAGATTATTAAGCAAATTAGATTATTATTATTTGCTGGTTAGCAATGAATAGCTAGTAGCTGGTGCTGGTTACCAGAGAATAGTTGTTATTAGGTCATTCAAGTTGCTAGTTAGAACCACATAGTTGGTAGTTGGTAAGTGAAAACATTCAACATATATTATTAGTGTACAAACAATACAGCATATTCCAAAATAATTTCAAATTAGATTTTTGCTGCCATGGCTATGCAACTGTTTGTGTTCATGAACTTAGAGGGTACGAGAATTAATAACATTGAGTATTGTACGCAGACTTGAAATCACTTTTGTAATCCTAAAGCAACATAACATGGTGACGGCCATTCAAAACAAGCCTTGTATTCACCGAGCAAGACTGTGAACAGAAGCAACCACAAAACATCTAATAAACAGTGGAAATAAATGCCGAAATAATAAATATTTGAACCACAAATGTGACTGGCAAGTGAATGTATAAACAAATCTTTGTTTTTCGTCAAAAACTTCAAATTGATTCTCAACAATGAAGCTTTGTATTTTATAGTATTGCGTACACCACCAATACAAGCCTTGTATTGTAATTTAACCAGTGGTTGCCATAGCAACATCAGCCGTTACTGGTGCTCAATGAAAAGACTTGGATATAAATACACCACCAATCCCATATATCAACACCATCCCCAAATATGTATATCCCCACCGACATGATATGTATATACTACCAACCCTATTAAGTACCGGTAGCAACAGAAATGCATGTAAAATAACACAATCGTTTCAAGATGCATAAGTTAACAAGTTTGCAACTGCTCTGGTATTTAAGGCAAACACATAAATCATCATATTGGTTTGAAACTGATCTGTACATGCAGGGCATTATGCTTTTTTGGCCAAATTTATTGGTTATAAATGAGGTTTTCCAGTGACAAGCGAATGTTTATTTATATTTCAGTAGCTAATTGTTTTGTTCAAAATAAACTCAAGAGTGGTGAAGCCATGTTACAATATACCCAAAGGAAACCTTTCATTGACTTTATAAAAATCAAACAATAGATCAGTGTTAAAATAATGATAATATTCTGGAAAAAAAACCACTTTGTTAATACACAGCATTGGAAAAATATAATATAATATACTCACCTTGGCTTCGGTATTTGATGAAAACAGGTCCATCTCAGGATACACATTTATGCTGAACAGAAAACCATCACACACAAAAAAGGTAGTGCAAGTAGGTACAACAAAAGGAAAAAAAATGTCTTTCCCTAACTAAAAATGGTGACCATTAAACAGAACCTGTCAGGTTAATAAGGTTAACATTGAGGGTATGCACTCATTTATGTACTTATTTGGTCAAGTCAATGTAAAAGTACATACAAATGTAGGTCTGGCAGGATAGGGGTGAAAGAGAAAATTGAATAGTAATCATAATTAATATACCTTATTAACCAAACAGATCCTGTTTTGAAAAAAAGGTAATGTCAGCACTTAGCATTGCATACACTTTATACAAACAACAAAAACTAAGTGCGATATAGGGTGCAGTGGATCTTAAAAATGTTGGTAACAATAATGCATTGCAAATACCATCAAATGATGAAGGGCCCTCACGGTCCTCACCTCTGTCGCTTCTACTGGATGAACTGTCGCTGCCATCGTCCTCGTGCCTTGTTGTCGTGACTGTTTTGGTTACTGTGACAACACCATCCTCTGTCTCCATCTCAGTAGTTTCCTGTACAACGACTTCTACACCATCATCTTCATCACCTCGATCAGGGCTAGTCGTCTCCTGTTCGAGTTCCTCATCATATTGTTCCATACTAGTTGTCTCCTGCACAAGTTCTTCGTTGTCTGACATGACCAATCACCTGAGAAATAAAGCGACAATTTAAAATTTTGTAATCAAGCATCCAGTATTTATCTACTTTTCTATATTGCCTATTCATGCAGTTATTCTTGCGTAAATACTGTCCACGCATGACTACATCAAACGCACAATCAAACATCATAGACACTGGGTATTAAATCGGCCAACAAAAACATAATTGTTTTGCAATTGCATCACTTAAGCTATATGTACTTTTCTCGGCAAGATAAGTCAGCTGATATTTTTACTGTTTATGACCGCAAAGTTCCTCCCAATAGAAATATACATTATTTATATTTTGTATTATAATTGAGAACGTTTGGGATGACAAAATTTTTAAAAAATGAGTAATCTGTCTTAAGAACCAAAGTAAAATATATTCACAAAAATGGTTAGAGGTTGTTGCTTTTATTAGCCTATGTGCTTACGTAAATGACAGAGGTATGTCAAAGGTTAATCTGTCAGAGGTTAAACTACGTCATACTCTAACTACTCAGTTTACAAACCGCACAACTATTGATTTATATGCACGTCTACTGTAGATGCGTTTCAGATGGAGCAAATGTTGTATATTTTTGAATAAGTGAAATTCCCAGTTTCTGTAAATACAGACATTTAGGGAAATCCTACACATCCAGGATGTAAGGCAGTCTACTGATCAGACTATATTTTAAACTCCAGCAAGGTCTAGAGATGAAATACCTGAGTGGAAATCGATATGGTTGAGGGGGAGGGGGGGGGGGGGGGTTAATAACCTTGAAGATCACACTTTTTAATAAGATGTCTTGTAGTAAGTATGGCATATTACCGGTAGTGGATTCTAGTGATTGGCTAGTAAATGAACGTAGAATCAGTCATTTATGCTCCCATCAATCTGTTATGTGAAAATTCAACAAATATTGGAGGAACATTTTTGGAAAGTGAATAAAGATGCCACAGCAGACAAAAAACTACCAATGGGAATGGGCAAGGAATGATAGTAATTGGATCCTGTTATACTTTCAAATTCATGATAATGACACCAGTGTATGTGAACAACTTTAATTTCATAATTCAGTGAAAATCTGAAAATTTTGTACATGTCGCAGTCAGTATATTGTTTTTGCTGACATTTGACACAAAGTTTTCACAAAAAATTGTCTTCACGAATTCCATTGTTGTCATTCCTGGCATTTTATAGTACTTACATCACTACCAATGCCAATGTCAAGTTTCAAAAGAACTGTGAAGTCTATTTATACCCTCTGTAATTACATGTTTTCATTACATCAGCAAAGAAGACCGTAAATGTAATGGGCCAAGAGTATGTGAGCAAGCCAAACTATGGTGATTGCTTAGCAACTAAAGATATCATGGGATATCCTATACAAATATGATGTGGTGGATCCCCAAGGACCATGCAGTTTATCCTAAAACTGTGTTTATTTAAGCTTCAAATATTTCATCTACTTCAGTAGGTACTACATGGGTCAGATCACATTGTAACACTTTTTCAGTGAACTGTATCCCATTTTTAAGACCTCATGTCTAGTGACTGGGTTGTTAATTTTGTTAATTCTTGTTTATTGGTATATTTACCATTTGTCTCTCTGACTTTTTGTGAATGAAATCTCTACACATTCAATATATATTCATAACTGTGGCATAAAATCACTTTTGTGATATTCATAGTCATATCTATCAAATTACGGGCTATGTAGTAATCTAAAACCCCATAAAAAACTACATGACTGGGACTTGATGTGAATGTTTATTTACAAAATAATTTCCACTGTTTAGGGACCTATATGGGCCTTTAAACCAATGTGGATTTCCAAGAAAATTAGTTCCATGTATGGAATTATTTAATTTGCATAAAATCTGATAGGTAGAGGCTCTGGTCACTTTTAATTCTAGTCTACAGTCAACATCGCTTTTAACATATAACAAATGTGTCAGCCATGGAGGTTGTTTTGGCTGCATTAAAAATGTAGCTTACTACTCAACTCACAATTCTATTACTGGTTTTTATTAAGTCATATTATGAAATCCAAAATGGAGGTATTTTTGCATTTTTCTGAAAAATGCCTATCATCGGCTTTACAGATTTGTGACTGTTAAACCTTGAAGAATGCATAAAGCACTTACGAAATCCCTATGCCCCACATAGAAAATATAAATAAAATATAAAAAAGGCATGTTGTTGTGCTCATCATCTCACTGTCACACTTGCCATTTTCGTATCTTAATTCTAACAGATGCAAGTTAAAATTCCTCGTTTTCAAGGGAACTAGACACAGAATGTACTGCAAGAATAACACATATAATGGAAATATGTGAAATGCTATAATATATATATATATATATATATATATATATATATATATATATATATATATATATATATATATATATATATATATATATATATATATATATAATATACTGATCGACCAAAATGTCCTGAAAAAAAACAAAACATGACCAAAACGTCCATGGCCAAAACGTTGATGGGAAGCGGTTACAACTTAAACATCCTACATTTCAATTACGCCACTTTCCAGTAAGACTTGCAGTAATTGGTTGACAAATCAAAGGTCAGAGTAGTTAAAGGGAAATGTACATCGGCTGCCGTATATTAAAAACGACCAAAGCATCTGTCTAACGGTATATCAAATTTCAGTTTTTGACTACCGGTATATTCATCTTTGATAATAACTTAAATTCAGATGCCATATAGTTTCTCAGAATTGCCGACAATATTTATTTACTTTACGATTCCAGGTGACCTTCCAAATCACATGACTAGATCTAGGTTATGGAATGAATTAATTTAACAGATTGCCTGCTATTATGCCATTTTTTTCCATTCATTTTGGCTACCAGTACCTGTTGAGACTAACAGCCTAAAAATTGTTAATGAAATCCATCCTATGTATATTTTAACGCTGAATTTAAATCCTTCTGATCACCCACGAAGTGCAGACCAGTTACAATAGTTTATCAATAGTTGGACTGTACAGTCAGCGTAAATTGAATCGTCCAGTGTAAGAGATCCACCATCTTTCATTGGATTTTCTGAAGACCTCCTGTATGGACATACAAGACTACATGCCGGTGACATACACACAAGAGATCAGATCAATCAGCCAGACCAACAGAAACTGACAATATTATTGGCCAAACGCCAATACATAAACAGTATCCAACACGTTTAGTCTGGCCATGGCACTTAAAATAGACCGTCCATGCAGACATACTTTGTTACATGGTTTGACCAAGGCTGATTTCTATATCCTGACATAAAACAGTTAATAGACATACTTTGCATACTCTGAAATGGTTCCAACATCGCAATAATTTAGGACACACATAGCATGAGCAAATAAGTTGACCCGTTTAATTTTGGCTTGGCTTGGCTTGGCTTGGCTTGGCTTGGCTCGGCTTGGCTTGGAGAACAAATAGCACTTTAACCACAAATTCACTGACATACAAGTTCAAGAACACAATACTCACTCAATGGATCTTCCACTAGAAGCACTTACACATTGTAATCTTTCTAAACCAAGCTATAAGCAAGGCATTGACAAGTTTTGTGAATATACCTGTTTAGACACGTCCAGAGAAACACCACATCAAGATAAGACAATCTTGGCACATTAATTCCACTGTCTGGCCAAGCCTTATATCAGATCAGAGTCATTAAAACATCTGTACACTGACAGCCAAGAATTCCAGGGTCCATTATAACACCGATTTGGTGCATTGTTGTGAATACTACAACCAGTAAGAGGAACAGGAGATTTTAATCTGTTTCAATTCCCACAGATTTATAAAGATATGAGAATCACAGATTTCATAAAAAAATTATATTAGCTGATTGTGTTTTTGAAATTTGGAATTTAATCATAGCGTTTTAATGCCAGTGTTTTCACGTTCACGTTTTTCGATACTCTGTTTTATTTATAGACCCCTGACCCAAAGAGAATACAATGCCCCCTCATGGGTCACTATCATGACACATGAATGAGCTACAATCATTCAGAGTAATAATCACAGATTGTACATTGTTAGATAAAGTAACAGACACACTGGTATGCAAGGAAACACAACACACAAACTGTGACGGTACCAGTAATATATTTCTACAGTTCTAAAAATAATTTACAAAAAAAAAACTATAATTATCTGAATAATTATAACTGTATTACTATTTTGATTCTAACTGTACTGCATGCGGATTCAAGACACAAATAATTATATTGTTGCAATCCATGGCACAAAATAATGGTAATCAAGGTTGCCAAATTATACTGAGCAAAGTTGCCAAGTAACTAAACATCTACGTCGACAGATTGAAATCTCAATAATAACAGAGACAAAAAAAATTATAGAAATATCCAACATATTACAATACTGTACAGACAGGACAAAGAACGTTAGCAGCTGTCAATCACAGTGGGCCAACAAAGGAATATGGGCAGCACTAAATCCTACAATGCAATACAATGGAAATGCGATATTGTGTGAAAAACTAACATTAATAATTATGTTCTATACCCTGCACGCACATTTGCAGGTTGGAATTCACTAGTTCAATATTTCATAATATTCAATTTGATAATACAAACAAAAATATATTTTAGAAAAAGGGTCACATAATTAGACTTTGTGAAAATATTTATTATGCATTTCATTCAATTTGAAAATGACAAAGGTTTTATTACATGAAATGTTTTATACAGCACATGTGATCTATTTGTTAATTTTATTTCTCTATTACTTACAATGTAACACACACACACAAAAAAACAATATTAAGGTGATATAAGATAAAATCTGTAAAAAGCTGAATTCCCAAACAGGTTTATATTTCAAAGTCAAAATTAAAATATTTAAAATACATGTGATTGCCACTTAGTTGCACTCTAGACAATGATCTATCAAAAATACTGCATTAATATTGGTACAACAGTCTGGAATATTTTTCCACTTACAAATGCTTTTTCGTAAAATGTTTTGGAAAAAAAGGTCTTATATTTTGATAAACAATGAATTAATAATGGGTATTTTAGAAATGCAAATTTTAGAGATAGCTATTCAGTTTTCACAGTGAAGGGCAAAATGTGTCCTTGTTTCATTGTGACAGATGGTACATAAAAAGACGAAGCAATAGTACTTCAATATTTAAAAAACCTTTTACGTTTAGTTTTTAAAATAAAACAGAGAATAATATATGTATGCAAATTTGCCCCTCCCCCTTCTTATTTAAGTGTCTATTCCAGTATATTATTTAAAGCAGAGAAAAAAAACAGAATTAGTCACTGCCAGTGACTAGGGATGATGTCATACCAACACATGTACTACCTGTATAAAATATTTAAAATATTACATTTTACAAGAAAAATTATTAAAATTACCAGTACTCCTGCAGAGATTGCTAATCAGTGCATATTTTAACTTGATGTTATTAAAATTAGAAATATTAATGCAGTGTATATTAATTAAACAATTGATAATTTTATGACTGTAGCACGTGGTTAAAATACATCTGAACATTAAATGTATAATATTTAATAATATTTGTTGTGAACCGTCAGTGCCCCAGCCCCAAAACACAGTGCACAGAATGTACATGATTTAGGTTGTACTGCAGGATTTGCCATGGTCACTCCAATAAGCGATCTGACCACGTTCTGCCATTTCTATTAATACAAGTCAAATGGGCATCTAATTGGTCGCCACGTCAATTAACTGTCCAGTGCCATGTCAATTTCTTTTAGGGCACACCGACAATAGAGAACGGATATTAGTAAGCATACGTCGGCGAGCTATCCGCGTCGCCACAATGACGTGTGTGTTACAGACCCAATGTACAGGTCACGATACAATTAATATATACTTTTGCTACACTCAAAATTTTGCGTCTAGTCGCGATCGAGTTTAGAGCGATCGACACCGGGATCGACAACATGTCTACCAGAGCAATTTGTCAACAGCGAAATGAATGTGACAGTTGATCGTCTAATGGTGCCGGTATTATAGGAATTAGATCAGAACTGCCCTTGAGAATCTGTCTACCACAGATCTACAACTTTTTGTAAAAGAAATAACTACACATACCTTTTAAGTATGACTCCTGGAAGACGTGAAATGTATTAAAATTGAGAGTATCCAGCAAATAGTTATAACAGACACGATTTTAGAGGGAGTACAAGCAGGGTTTCTTTGCAGGATGAACACACCCCATAAAACTAAAGAAGCGAATTACAAGATTGATCCTTATTGGTCGCAAAACTCTAATATTCAATCTCCTAGCCAATCGCGATTTTCCTTATTTGTATCACTTCAACTCACCACCCTTGGCACTCCTTCTAATGTAGTGAACAATTGCTGTTGATTATACCGGATTTGCGTCCAAATAACTGAAAATCATCATGCCCAATTATCATATTTTTTGAACATTTCATGGATGTTTCCATCATACGAGTACAAAATTAGATTCACCTTGAAAAACCATCATCTAAATGTAAAAACGTAAAATACCTTTAGTAAAACTCTACTCAAAAAATGTTTTCAGGTGGAGTGAGGGCAATGAATAGATCAGCGGGATATGTACGATGTCATCCACCGAAGGGGTCATGTTACTAGTCAAAACACATGCAACTCGTGTGCGATTCGTAAGCTGCTTATTCGACACAGATAATGTTAAAAATAATTTCAATTTTACCAGGGTAACAATTTATACGTTCGGTACATGGGACGCCGTTGCCTAGATATTGACGGCCATATTTGGGTTACGCTAAAGTTCCCAACATGTAGAACGCATTGACCGCTCTGACCCAAGACAACTCCGCCGCACACGCCTGTACTTAGCAGTTGAGTACGAGCAATGACGTCACTTACAAAGGTCACACGATACAGGTGATAGGTATTCTCTACCCAGAGTCCTTTGCGATATTGCTGAACGTATAACTGCTACCACTTTTAGCCTAGTACTATATTTGGTCAACACTAAAAAAAATTCGTATAAATACAATTTGTTACATAACATTTGAACGCACAATGACGACTGGCGTTTTAAAGAGCTTTAAAAAAAAATCCAGCATAAACGTAAATACAAGTGATTGTATTTCAGGCCACACTGATTTAATTTTATGGATGACATCCTTTGAAGACCCCAAAACTAATGCCAGAGGGCGAAAAAAAAAATCCTGCCAAAAAAAACCAAAAAAAACCACAGGACTACGGAGCTGTTATTACGAATTGAACTACAGTGTATCAAAAAAACAACAACAAGTCTTTATTTGTAGGAGGCATATGCTGATGGACACATCTCGTACTGTATTACTGTCACAGGTATCATCACCTTTGATTTTGAAAAGGCTAGAGGATAAGGCAAATGTTAGCTTTGCCAAAGGCATACACATCAACTCAATAATAAAGAAAAACTTACTGTGTTGTATTGAAAAAAAAAATTAATTAATTTAAAAAATGAACAATAAGTTTGTCAACAGCAACCTGGAAATTACCTTCTTTGACATTCAAACTACAGTTTAACTTTTTAAAGTGACACTTCAGATAGTCTAAGTGTACACACAAATGCTCTAGAACTACTTCAACTATGTAACAAATTATAAGAGGCTCGATATTGAAAAAAAAACACACCAACAGTCAACAAAAATTTGGATGCAGAAAATTATGTACATGTATCTTGATGAACATTTGTCATATGATCAAATCATTACTGACTGTGTTGTGCAAGAAAATTTATCCGAATCAGAAAATGAAAAAAAAATAAGAAGAAATTTTTGTTCACCCCGAAAGGGGACTTCGGCCGAGGAGCTTCCGCTGCTTTCGTTGCAGTTTTGTCGGCTTCAATGCGGACAAAGCAACCGAACTGACTTGTCGCCTGACCGACTTTTAGGCCACCATGCACCTCCACTCCTCTCCCAATTCGCTCATCGTTGCAGAAGAAACGCTGGACAGCTCTGGACAATATGTCCTTAAAGTTGTCTGGGCGAAACTCGCTTGCCGCTACCGATCTCTCGTATAGCTGTGTAAACGTCGCATCTCCCTGGCCAACGTCGATTGCGTACCAGTCTACAACAATCCCTCCGTTTTACTTCTGAACTTTTATGCTCACGTATTTTGGGGGTGTGGTCGCCATGTTGGATCATTTATGACAAAATTGGCATGTTTTGAGACAATCTCCTTCCCATAGGTCTTTGCGCTTTACGTAACGCGCATCTAACTGTGCGGAGTTTGGTTTTGAGGTGGTCCAAAACGAGTTTTACGACAAGTCGGCGCTTTGCGACAATATGAGTCGGCAAGTTCCGGACAGAAAACCGATCTGTGAAGACTCGTCGTCGGAGATTTTTTTTTTTTTTTTTTTTTTTTTTGAGAACAGACGAAAACTAATGCGCGCGCGGATGTCATCCATAAAATTAAGTCGGTGTGGCCTTAGTACATTGAATTAATTGTATTTTACTCTTCAATTAGCTCTTCTAGTAATCATTCCACCCATGTTAAAAAAAAACATGATTGTTAATACGACAGTCTAAGACTTGTACTGTCATTACATCAGATTATACCAGAGAACTTGAATTCTGTAATACAATTGTGTGACTTTTCACGACCGTCACAGACGGTAATATTGCGTTTAAACGCAAGAAATCGGAAACTCCTAGTATAAACGTTGACCATATGGTCGCACCTGGTCACACACTGAGACGGTCTCAGTCTGTAAATGAGGCGAACAAAAACACGAGGAAATGAAGTGAACGATATTCAAATCGTGAAAATAAATCAACACTAAAAATGGAAAACACCATAGATGGATGTACGCTGCTCGATGGATTCGCTATGTATAGTCACAGCATGGACGTCATCCCCAGACACATGGTATAGGATATGACTCATCTCAGACCACTGAGGACTCATGCAGCTATACTAGTCGAACGAATGCATGTTAGCAGCGTCCTCTATAGTTCACTGTTTTACACAAGCCGCTCACTTCGTATTTCATCGTCCGCTCACACGGTTTTGTATACGTCCATCCCTCTCTATATACGAACGCAGTAAGCTGAAACATTATACACTGAAAATTACTTCGGAGAGGAAGAACCAAAAATAGCAAAAGTGACCTTCATGCAAATGTTGACCATAACAGCTGGGTCTGCTGAATGCATCTTCACTGGAGGCGAATTTTTTAGACAGTGCGACTCGGGCTGGTCACTGAAGGTGATGAAAGCCTCGAGATACAATGTTGTTGGATATATGTTACCATCATTTTTATATGTCACTATCCATTGGCGCAAGGAACACGTTTACAATGAAAATAACATTATTTATTAATATTAAAAATGCAGTCTGTTCAATGCAGAATCCCAATTGTGAATTATAGATTTGAAACTTTACTATTTTTGATTTAATGATTTATACTCAAATTCAATTGTGTGAGCTTAAAACATAATATAATTCCTTCAAATTATGCGATTTAATCCGACGTTGATTGACCCTTTTTTCAATTTTGAAAAAAAAAACGTGTCTCTGACCGACGTCAATGTACTGATGCCTGTTGCTCATTGTGGATAGGGTGCACGTTGCGAATAATTTAGTTGAAAACAGTTATGCCGAAATGAATAAATACTTATTCACATTGCTGAACCTGCTACCTTAAAGGTACATGGTGCAAACAGCTCTCATCATGTTCCGACCAAGTCTTTTTTTCATTTAGGTTCGTAACACTGATTTAAAAAGGGATATATATGACTGTGAATATTAAAACAGTGATTTTGTGCAAATAATTACAAATATAAAGGGAACTAGAAAGTCTGCCCACAAAATATGAAATAGACAAACCGGAATTACAAGTTCATCAACATTATTATGGACGAATGGTGAGTGCGACAGTACAGGGTTCATTTTCTCCGTATTCATTCATCGATCTATTTTTTTATTTAATATGTAACAACAATTTTAGTATAAAACTTCTTAAAGTGCCGACCAACAATCGGACTCCGCGAAGTCAACTCCAGTGTGTCGTATCAGATTTCAAAAGGACGTCGGATGAAAATCTTGATATCGATACGCTTATTTTTATTAACAAACCCATTTAACTTCTGTGACACCCCGGTACGACACGCAAACACTCGTTACACATTGGTAACTGGTACCCTAACCCCGCCTGAAACTGAGTTGTATGAATTGTTTAGTATAATTATTTACAACGACTCGCGTTTCTTGAGAACCAGAATGCCGTGAATTATACATACGTATGATTCTAAGAATTTCGTCACGGTAGCTGTTCGTATTGAATTATTTTTCGACCAAAAATGTTCAAGCGTGAAAATAACTTTAGAAATAGTCAAAACTCGTTAGAAACATTTCCTGACTACTAAATCGTCGGATAAGTCGACGTTGAGGTGTAAACTTCATTTATCTGATTTAAATATGCATTCCATTATTATAAAAGCGATGCAATGGAGGCGATATTTCCGATTCACTATATTGCTTTAATAGCCACTGGAATAAAAATTGGAATTTATGTCTATAAAAATGTTTTATTTTAAATTATTCATTACTAGTATTTTTTACTGTTACCGCTTCTCAGATGAGATGGCAAACACAAAATGGCAATTTGTTTTAAGGTAGCGAGACTATTATTTGTGTTTAAAATTACGATTTTCACATTTATTTATTAATTGATGAAATGCACTATAAACTTTCATGTGATAAAGTCAACATAACATAGAATGTCATGTAAGTTG